ATATAATAATATATTATATATATTAAATAATAAAATAATATTATATTATTATTAATCTATAATATAATATTATATATATTATGAGTTATAATATATTATAATTTAATTTATTTATATTAATTTATTAAAAATAAAAATAAATTATTAAATATTTAATATATTACAAATTTGCATTCGTGTTAATTTAATATAATATTATTGTATAATTCGTGCATCGTAAATATTTATTTTTGTTTTATGATTTATAATTCACACATTGAAAATATATATACGAATTAATATTTTTTTCTTATTTTTTTATATTATAATTACGATGAATGAATAAAAAAACTCGTAAGGAACAACGAATCGATTAAATTTTTCTTAGTAGGAAAAAAAACGAGATTTTTTGAAAATAATTAATGAAGAATAAAAAGAAGAAGAGAGAAGGATAAAAAAGTAAAAGAAAAAAAAATAAAGAAATCACGTGTTTCGTCATAAATCATCGACCCATCTGATTTCCACGAAATCGTTACTCATGAAAGATTAAAAGAAGAGAACTGAAACGTGTTAAGTTTTTTTAAAACTAATGCTTATTAGAATTGCAATAGAATTTATTGAAAAAAAATTAATCGACCGTAAATCGAGATCTTGTTCGACACATATTCATCTCAATTTTTTCTTTCATTTTTTCCTATTATTTATTTGCTTTTTTTCCTTTTAAAATACGATTAATGAACAGGATATAGGTAATATAAATGAATGAATAAAACGATCGTAGACAAAGAAAAAACAAACAAACGTAATTTGTTTTTGAGTTGTTGACAAAAAAAAATGAGGAAAAATTAATACAAAATTATTTCTTCATAATCGTTTATATATATATATATAAAATATCTATTTATGTATGTATAGAAAATTAGTCACCAATCAAGTGTTCATAATTTGTTTTTTTTTTATAAAACAAGCATTTCCGTAGATCCAAAACAAGCATTTATATATATATTATGAGTATATGTGTGTGTATTTATGTGTAGATATTTGGTGTTATGAAAACGAGAATAATAAAAAAATAGATTATAAAGTTAACCTTGCAGTTGTGTTCTATCTCGTTCTAGTCCCGGTTAATTATCGGACAATCGTTGTTGATAAAAAAAATAAAAAATTAAAAAAAAACCCAACTAATCAGGTGACACGGTAAATTTACTTTTATGGACCATCCGAAGTAACCTTCGTATTATCGCGTGTCTAACAGCATTGAACGTTGAAGTTAATTCCAACTTACACGTAAAAATATGTTATTACAAAACAAATAATAATTGTTACAGACGGATTTTAAATTCAGGATAAATTCGTTTCAAAGATTTTCTAATTATTATTGAAACGTTTATTGAATGGATTCATTTATAATATCGAAGAAAATTAAATTAAATTAAATTACTAGAAAATTAATGTTTTTTATTCATTTTGTAATAATCCTTGTATGAGTAAAGAAATGTTGGATATTTTTATTATTATAATTATATATATTGATTAATAATCCTCTATAGGTTCGTATAACTTTGAAATAACGTACCAATAAATGAATATTATTTTGTAATTTAATTTTCTTCCCCTTTATATGACGAACATACTTGTATAATATTTCATAATCTTCATTTTGTAATTAATAAAAAATTCTTCATATCTATTATCAATTCAAGCTTGAAATTATGGAAAATAAATTGATTTTTTTTGAAAAATATTTTTCATTCTGTGACCCGATACAAACAGTATTGTCATCGCGAAATATCACGTCCGTGAAAACGAAGCAAATAAAGATTAATATTTATTTGTTTTTAAATTATATTTAATTCTTTTTCAATCACTGAACAAAAAAAAATTGATCTATTAAAAATTAATGTGTTGTTTTTCTTGTTTTTTTTATTTCGTTTTGTTTAGAATCTCTTTAGCGATACCACCACCAACGAAAGAGGAATTAAAATTAGAAAGTTCAACGTCCTTTTCGAGATGTTTCATGTACGATGTAAATTACACCGATATTCTCAAGGAAGGAATCAGACAATCCAATCCAAATTGGCCTACAATTCCTTGCAAAAATGGATGGGAATACAATTACACGATGATACCTTACGCCTCCATTGCTGCTGAGGTTAGAATTTATAAATTAAATTATTATCGTAAAAAAAAAGAATTTATAAAATAAAATTATTATCGTGCATCGACAATCGGCATCGAAAATATTTCTAATTTATTTTTATATTTAATTTTAATTTATTATATTTAATTAATTTTAATTTTAATTTATATTTAAAATGTCTTTTTAATTTCTTTTAATTTCTTTTAATTTTATTGTTTTTCTTTTCTTTTTTATTTTTATGAAAAACAGTTATCCTGGGTTTGCGAAAAAACATTTCTAAGTTCGGCAGCTCAATCAGCATTTTTCGTAGGAAGTATCATCGGTGGTTTTATTTTTGGTTACATAGCCGATCATTATGGTAGAATACCAGCATTGGTTTCCTGTAATGCCGTAGGATTTTTCGCATCCGTTGCTACAGCATTTTGTAATAGCTTTTGGAGTTTTTGTTTGGCCAGATTGATCGTTGGTTCGTCATTTGACAATTGCTTCAACATTCTTTTTATCATCGGTAAGTATTTTTTTTTTTTATTTTTCGAACAATTTCTTTAATTATAAAAAAAGAAATGTATTGTTAAAATTAAAAAATAATCATCGGTATAATTAATAATTGTTCGATTGTTTTTTTTTTTTTTTTTAATTACACATATTTCATCTTTTCGTTTCAGTTATCGAATATGTCGGACCAAAATATAGAACTTTGTTCGCAAATATGTCATTTGGAATTTATTTCGCTGCGGCAGCTGGATTGTTACCATGGATTGCTTATTGGATAGCAGATTGGAGAATTTTAAGTATAGTTACTGCATTTCCAATGATCGTCGCATTTATTGGACCTTGGATAGTCCCAGAAAGTGCACGGTATTTACAAATCAAATTTTATATATATATAAATTTCATTAGTAATAATAATAATAATTATTATTATTATTATCATCATCTCATCTCTCAATTCACTAATTTACCTAATGAAATTAAATAATAAATAATAATATAATATTATTAGGCATAGTTTAAATTTCGTACTTTATTATTTAGATGGTATATCATGATGGGAAATACAAGTAAAGCAATCGAAATGCTGCAAAAATTCGCCAAGGTCAACGGAAAGGAAGTGAAACCAGAGATTTTTGAGGAATTCGAAAAAAGTTGTAAGACTATAGCTGAAAAGGATACTGCCCATCATCAACACACTGTGTTGGATCTATTCAAATTACCTAGATTAGCTTTTATAACAATAATACTTATAATATATTGGTAAATAAAAAATTGAGATTACAAAAGAAAAATAAATCAAATATTTATCCAGAAATGTTTTCTAACTAATGTCATTTTTATAGGCTTCTCATAGTTCTGGTATTTGATGGGCATGTATGGAACATGAAATTATTGGATCCTGACGTGTTCACATCCTTTTCTCTTGCATCAATGACCGAACTTCCAGCTGCTATTCTTTTAGCTCTTTTGCTGGATAGATGGGGAAGACGATGGATGGGATTTGCATCCATGTTTTTGTGCGGTATTTTCTCATTCGTCGCCATTGCAACTCCCGAAGGTAAATCATTCATTTATATTTCATTAATTTATATTTTTTTCATTATTTAAATATACACAAATTCGATAATTGTTGATAATATAAATATTAAAGTCATAAATCAATTATATAATATTAAATTAAATTTTCTATGCACGTGTATCGTTTATGATTAACGTGAACAATTGTGATTGTTCTCTATTATTATTATTGTTAATATTATTATTATGTACGTTTTATGTATAAGAATTACTAATATTAGTTCTAATTATAAATTCTTGATCAACGATATGATTTTAGGATATTTCACTGTGGCCATGGCTATTTTAGCACGTTTAGGAGTAAACATAGCCGCGAATATTGGTTTTCAATATGCCGCTGAAATGTTACCAACAGTGGTAAGAGCGCAAGGTGTTTCATTGATTCATATTATTGGTTATTTTGCTCATATTATTGGACCATACATCATTTATCTGGTTAGTATATACAATACATTATGCATCAATACCGATAAAATTAATATTATTGCAAATAATAAGTATTTTAAAAAATTAACGAAATTTCACAAATGAAAGGATAACAAATTAGTGAGAAAATTGAAATTTATCATATGGTTTCTTTCAAATTTCAGTCCGACGTACATCCGGCATTACCTTTGGTAGTTCTCGGACTTTTGTCCTTCGTAGTTGCATTTTTAACTTTAACTTTACCGGAAACGTTGAATCAGGATTTACCAGAATCATTACAAGAGGGTAATGATTTTGGTAGGGATCAAAGTTTCTGGTGGATTCCATGCATACCAGCGTAAGTATTAAACAAAAATATTCATTTTTTCTAATTAGAAAAAAGGGAACAAAAATACGTGCACATATTTTGTATTTATTTTGTTCTTTTCTAAATCATTTCTATCTAAATAATCTTTTTTAAAATTCGTTGTTTTTTTTTCTTAATATTTTTTCAGAACACCTGTTTTAAAGAAATCCTATAGAAAGAAAAAAGGTATGACAAACGCTGCATTCCACGGTAGTATCCAAAGAATTGACTCCACCAGATTATAGCGAACGATTGATAAAAAAAAAAAAAAAAAAAACCAAGTAAAAAAACTAACGCGAGTGTACATGGGTGATCATTAAAAGTAACCAAATCGTTGTAAATAATAGCTAATATAAATATCATCTTAGATTTTAAGTTAGCGAAAAAGATTATTAAATGACAATTACATATTTTTAACGTATGCATCCTACGAACGAAAGAAAAAGAAACGACAAAGAACAAGCGCCAAAAAAATATCCCCCAGAAAAAAAAAGAAAATATTTTAAAACACAAAAATACGCATTAATATTAATTAAATATTTGAATTCAATTTCGAAACAATAATTAAATAAGATTTCCAATTTAATCAATTGATTTTGCATTCATTAATTTAGTAATTAATCGATGAACAGTATTACGAGTGTAATCATTTCGTATAATATGACAGAAATATAATAATATTAATTATAATGATAATGATAATAATAACGATAAGAAATGAGCAAATTTGGAATTGGTTACGGTGTCAATTAACATTGACTTAATTCTATGGTGTTATGTGGTTAAAATATAATATCTTTTTTTCTTTTTCCTTTTCATTATATTTTAATACTCGAAATTTTATGATTTGATATATCAAAGACATACTGGAACAGAGCTTCTCAAGTTTTTCCACTAGGAAACACCCAATTTACCTCAGCAAATATTTTTGCGACCCTTTATACTATCTTCTCTTTCACTACCATAAATTCACGGACATATAATTAGTTTTATCAAACTAATTTTCAATGAATTTTCCGGATCCAGAAAATGCTTACTTCTTGGTCACAGTTTCAATGGTCTGCAACCATTATAAAAGGTCGCTAGTCATACTTTGAAAAGCCCTGTACTAGATGCTCTTTTATTTTTCTAAATTTTAATTAAGAACTTCGCAAATAATACATGTACATAAAAACATACACATACACACATAAATAACCTACATACATATTTCTATTTGTGCCTTTATCTTCGCAATTACTTGCGAGGAAAATAATAATGTACTGACATTTATTATATAAATAATTTTTTTTCTCATAAATGCTCTCATTAACATTTAATTAGCCCATTACAAGTATCATATATATATATATACGTTTTTTATTATATTATATTATATATATTATATAATATATATATAAAATAGTGTATATATATATATAACCCTCTTTATTCGATAATAAAAAATAAAATAAAAAATAAAATAAAAAATAAAATATTTTCGAGATTCTGATTACAGACTCTATTTCATTTTCTTTTTTATTATCATAAACTCACAGATTTACCATACGCATAGTGCTGCCAAACTAATTTTGAATACATTTTTACGGAAGTTATATGCGAGTGCAGAAATTTTATACTTTCACTCAAATTTCTGCGACTTTGTATAAAATTTCGAGTTACACTTTGAAAAGTCCTGATATATATTATATATTACAGTGCACAAAATAAATGAACACAAAAGTGAATAACTTATTTTAGAAATTATGTGTATTTTACAAATTGTATACCGTATGTCTCGAATTAACAAGAAAAAACATTTGTATAAACATTCTGATAAATTTCATGAGTCATTTTATTCTGTTTTTTGGTTGATAACGTATTACAGACATTAATAATGAAATAGAAAAGTGCTATATTTTGTAGATTATTTGATTTGAACGATTAGAGAATAATTTGTATTTTTTAATTACACACGAATCATCGTTATTGCACTTATCCCTGTATCCATTATAACATTAAAATGATAATCATAATTAAACCACCGAATTAGAATCATTCGCGTACTTACAACCATTAGTTCGCGATATTAAATATTTAGACTCACTATAAATTGGCTAATTAATTTATGATCACGATTGTAGCGTTAGTTTATAATTCTTCTCCCACCGTTGTACGTTAAATAGCGCTTCATAGTTTTAATAGTGCAAAGAAGAAAAGGAGGTAATTATTTTTTTTTCTTTTTTTTTTTATCACCAACAGTATAAAATTGTTTGTAATTATTGAATATCTTTTAACGAAAATTTGTACATCTATAAAAAAAAAAAGGGAAAATGAAAATCATTAATTCAAACTAATTGTTAAAACAAATGATTTTTAATTAATGATTGAATATTATGAATTATTTTATTTTATAAATGTACAAGTTTCAAATTTCCTGTATCGTGTAATAAGGAAAAAAAAAAGAAAAAAAATGTATGGAATTTAACAGTAAAACGATAAATGAAGTATACATTGTGAATCACATAAAATAGTTTTTAATCAAATGATAGTATTCCTCTTTTACTTAATTTCTTTGACTTCGTACTTTATATGAATCATAATAAAGATATCTCTGAATAAAAGAATAAGAATTAATATTTATTACACTTAATAACACAATAAAATTAAGTCGTCTGATTGTTTATATTATTTCAAATTATCTTTAAATAATGACTTTTTTTTTGTATTAAAGTTTCTCATCTTGTTTAAGAGATCTCGCATGTTCTGGTACTAAAGTCGCGATAGTAATAAAACCTGTATGACCAGGCAACGAATGAGGATGAGTTACAGTCAAAAACTTTTCTGGTTCTTTTTTGTCTTTTACATTCGGTTGTTTATCTTGTTCATCGTCACGCTGTAAAGTAAAGAATAAAAAAACAACGTTTATTATTAAACTCAATATTCATCCCTTGCACTGTAACAAATGCATGCGCTTTAAATCATAGCGCAAGGGATTAATTTATAGCAACGTTATTAAATAATATCAATTTATACCTTATATTTTAAACACTCCAAATTTAAAACAGGTAAATTCTTGTATTGTACTGTTAATTCTTTTTGTAAACATTCATAAGTTTTTATTTCAATAAAACCCTCTAACGTAAGTTCTGCGCAAGTTCTTTGAACTTGTTCTATGCATGGAGAAAACGAACACAACTTTCCTCCTATTGAATGAAACATAAAATGTAAAATTCTATATGATCATAAAGTTAAATGAAATTTACCTGACTTCTTGAAGGCATTTAACGTATGTTTTACAACTAACCACGGATGTGGTAAATCTAAAAATATCGCATCCACTTTGTTTTCTATTTTTTCACCAAACCCTTGAGCGCAAACATCTCTACATTCAACAGTAACGAAATCATCAAGACCGTGTCTCTTAAATTCGTCGGTAGCAATTTGTACACGTTGTTCATGAAAGTCAAATGTATAAAGATGACCGGTTGGACGAATTGCACGAATAAGTGCATGTGAAAGTGAACCACTTCCGGTACCTAAAATATGTACAATCGAATTTAATCAATGCGATGAACATCATTATATAATACAACATAAGTTAACTGTTTTCGTATACTTTACATATGTTAAGAATAATTTTATTTGTTTAATAATCAAATTTAAGTGAATATTAGAAAAATTTGCTACAAGAACTTGATGTACTATGAATCAATGATAAAAATATAAGATATAAAAAATAATATTCATATATAAGTTCAAGAAATGTACCCAAGTGTAGGCTTTTGGAAACGTTTTGTTTAAGCCTGCAGATACTTTAGTCTGATGTTTTAATAACAGATTAGAGAAATAGATGTATTCTAGGATTAGGAAAGTTCAGCTGCTTTCTCAACCTGTCTCAATGATTGTTTGGCCCGGTGAAAGTTCCATTAAGTATGTAATTAAACTTATGTCTGGAGTGTAAATAATTTGTGTTCTATGGGGAACAGTTAGAGTCCAAAGTTCTGGTGTTGGTTGTAAAACGTGACCCCATCCTTTGGACAATTTAATTTTGCTACCATACTTTTGGCCAACGAGGGAAGCAACTTTGAGTGCACCATAAATCGTTTGAAATACATTTTCCACCAAGACACCCTTTTTGTTCAATGTTTTTGGTGTTACTTCCAACGAATGCATATTTGTATGTCCTAAATATAAAATAATAACGTCTCCTTCTTCTATTATTTCTTTTGTATTTCTAAAACTCATGGTTACACGTTAGAAAAGATAACCTCTTTTACAGAACTTACACTTTCACGCACTACGATTTGTATCGATCTGTTTAACAGTGTTACCAATATATTAAAAAAAAAAAAATTACAAAATATTATTAATTATTTTCATATAAGTAAAAATATATTATACAATGTATAATATAATTAATTATGTTTATTTATTACTTTTATTCAATTATTTATATGAATAAAATAATCATCTGTCAATAATTACATATGTAGCATTGGAAAACTACTTTACCGACAAACGTATATGTAGCACATGTAATATAGCGCGCTCTGTATTACACATACAAAAACTTAAAAGTATTTTTACATGAATAAATCTGTTCTTGTTTTATTTAATTATTAACAATTTATATTTTTTTAAAAGCCGAAATTTATTGATATCTAATATTCAACAATTATTTATACAAATTAAATTAAATAAATAATATTTTAATATCAAATTTATCTGTAATATATTTAATTTATAAAGATAAATTTAAAAAAATAAAATGGCTACTATCTTTTGAATACGAACATCGGTGATTTTAATGCATGGTATTTGAAATATGTTTACCATAGGAATTCCGACTTTCAGGTCACCTGTATAGAAGAAGAGTATAATCCAAATCGGTTACATTTACCTATATAAGGTGAACGGTCCAAAGTCGTCGAGTTGTATATAAAAAGAAAAAAAAAGAAAAAAAAATGAAAGAAAGAAAGAAAAAAGTTTAAGCTTCACTTTCACGAATAAGGTATATACGTAAATACTTACTCATACATTTTTATAAACCTACTCATCAGTTTCTTACTTGGAACCGTTGATTTCTTATTTCTTGTCTTCCATTACTTATAAGTAAATTTGTTTCGTGTTTCATTATTCTTAAAATAAGAAATGCAATTTAACTAAAACGATTTTATTTCGAAAGAGTCATCAATTCTTTATTTTTTATTGTATCATCCTAGTAGCGTCCTCAATTTCAATTCAAATGCATGAAACTTAAGAAGATGACGGAATTTATCTCGGATTACAAAAGTTCATCATTTTTGAAAAGTAACAAATTATTAAATAAAAAATAATAAACAAACAAAAAATTATATTTAATTAGATTTAATATGAAGGAAATATAAGACAGTAACTATAATTTATTATTATGTATTAAAACAGGAAGTTCTGGTTGACGTTGAAAAAACTTAAACCGAAACGGAAAACTAAAACTACAACGTGTTGGCGCATGCGTGAAAAGGATCTTTTCTTATTATTAGTTGGAGTGTGAAAATTGTGGAATAAGCGTAGTTTTAAACCGATTATCAGCGGATATTGCGAAAATATCATGTTCCTGTTAAAACAATATGCCTATATACCTTATCTAGTAGTAGGAGCATGAAAAGATGTTGTTTTTGCTTGACTTTATTAATTATAAGATGGAGGCATAGTTTCCTACAGCGTCCCACTTTGCAACACTTTCACTCTTCAATAGTTACGTTACATCCAGGCAGCAGCAGCAGCACCACCACCACCACCACTAGCACCACCACCATCATCACCACCACCACCATCACTATCACCACCGGTGAGGAGCTCCCGGTGCTCAAGAAACACACAACTATCCTCTCGATAACTGCTTATTTGTAGAACTTAAACAGAGAGAATCGTATCGTGTCTGACACGCGATGCCATATCGATTTCTACTTCGAACTGTTCAACGAATAGAAATTATGCAATATAACTTTTCATATGGTACCACTTGATATCAATAATTTTGTTTATTTGATTTGTGACTGACACGTGAAAGATTAAATTTAATCGTTGTTTATCTTTTTAATGCAATAACAAGAATTTTCTATCATCTTAACTAAATTTTTATGAATACACCATAAACGATAGTAATTATTAATGATGATGTTTAAATATCTTGTTCAGGAAAACATTAATCGTTAGTTACATACAGGAAACGATTAGTATCTTTACATAATACGTACTGTCATTTAGATAAATCTTCTCGTCAATGATAGGTCCGTTGTAAATGAAAAAAAAAGAACCTCGAAAAATAGGAAGATTCTCTTTCCATCATATTCGAAACTCTTGGGTAGTTATTTGTACCTCTTACGGCAACGTAAGTGAAAGTTGCCAAGTGGGACACGCGTCTTGAATCTTGACGGCACTTGAACGTTCGCCAAATCCTTCTCGCTTAGTTTCTCTGCCGCCTGCGCGAACGTTGATCTTTTGACAAAATTAATAAATCTACGTATAATACAATTTGCTAAATCAAATTCTCGAACAATATGCCAATCTCTTTCTATTTATCTTTCTCACTCTTACCTATCCTTCTAAATGTATTCTTTACGATGAACGTTATTAGACGAAACGATTTCGTAATGCAATTATTCATTTTTTTTTTCCAAAGAAAATTATCTTACATCCATCCCCCTTTTCAGTTATTCTCTCATTAAAAGTAGGTATGCGCTAATAAACGAGGTAACACATATATCTGTACGTGCAAGTACGCAAGAACGCGTGAGAAACGGAGTGAAGGATCATCGATGATTCTCTCTTTCTATCTTTTGAGATGGCGATTTCGTATAAGACTTACGCAACCAACGAGAAGTTTCCAGTGCAGAAGCTTTTGCAACCGAAGTAAATATCTACTAGGTCATCCCATTTAACTGGTTTACTAGATCTCCACTAAGATTTCATAAGAAACTAAAGAAGCAACACACGAGAAGCCAGTTATAAAGAGAGAAAAAGAACAATGCTTACTTACATTAAACCTTAACACGCATTAAACAAGCATGTATATGAGTATGAGTACACATCATTACTTTCCATCGGACAAAGATTAATATAACTTACCCATTCATAAGTAAATAACTGGACTAGAACGTTAATTAGTTACATACTCTTTTTTATTTCAACATTCCATCCTATCTAGGAAGATCTGAAGAAAGTTATTCCAACCCCCACCCTTCAGAATGGATCATATAAAAACATGAAATTTATTTATTACAAGCCCAATCATCGTTATGACGAAAATGACAATGAAATGGAGACATTAAAATGTCTCTCAAAATGAATCGTACAATGATACGAAGAATAAAAAGTAAATAAAACAAAATATTCTAGCCATGGTACTTTCTAAGAGCGAGACCTAAAATCGAATGAACGAGGAAGAACGATATCATTAAACGTTGTATATGTTACAGGATGTTTCACATTAAATATTCCTATTGTTTTAAATACTATAGAAATAATATAATATTTAATTACTCAATTATCGCCATAAATTATTTAAAAAATGTATTTGTTAATACAAACAATTCAATATATTGATAATAGTATTGGTAACAATTCATAGAAAAAAATAACATAAGACATTTCCGGATTCTCATGTTAATATAAATTTATGAAATAATTTGAATTGGAATATGGAAGTGATATTCATTTATAAAAAATTGATGAAACACCCTGTAGATATTTGTAGCTATCGAGCGTGAAAGGGTTAAACAGTGTGAGATTGTAAGAAACTGATGAAAACTATAGATTACGAACAAGTATTAAACTACTACTACTACTAATACTACTACTACTAAACGAAAAGAAAGGTAAGCAGACTTCGATTTCGATAGGCCTTGGAGGTCATCGAAAAAGTGTAGGATGGTCTTCGGTTTGAATATAATCGGCCCAGTGTCCCCTACCTTTCTCGTCGTTGGAAGAGAAGTGGATCTCCAAGGAGGAAAGTCTTACAACAAGGGTGCTCATCCTCTTAACTTTTGAATGCTCGCGTTCATCGACCGTTGGCTGACTCCTCTCTTTTTCAGTTAAGAGTTCGAACGGCCTTTCCTTTTCTTCTTTCGTAACTAGTCCGTCTTTTTTTTGTGTATGTGTAGTAGTAATAGTAATAGTGACGTAAAGATACACTATTGATATCCCTTCGTGTCCGAGTTCAGTTCAATTATTACTTTCGATTATCGTTTCAAAATTTCATTTCGATTTATCATTGACAACATTTATTTTAGATTATCATCGTTAATATTATTTATACATGCAAATTTTAGTATAATATATGGACGTGTGTTGAAAGATATTAACCTAATTAAATTCAATTATTATTCTTTCGATTACCATTAAGATATTTTGTTGGATCTCTCTCATTTAGGTGTTATATAAAAAAAGAAAAATATTAATAAATTAAATATGTACTTTAAAAATATTATTAATTATTTATGTTATATATAACAAATTTTAGTATATAATGCATGGATACAAAAAAAAAATATTAACCGAATTAAATTAAATTATTACTTCCATTATTAAAATGTTATAAAATTACTTATACATCATTAAAATTATCACCAATCATTTGTTATTTAGCAAAATTTTAGTAAGTATAAATCAATCCACGAATATTAAAAAGAAACACTAATGCCATATTACACTTCCTTAAATAAAACATAAACAAAAAATATGTCTCATAAAAAAAAAATTATGCAAAATTTAAGTTATATATCAAATTTAATTTCAAATCACGTATGTTGAAAGAATATTAACGGTACGTTACAACCCCTTTATAAAATTTAAACAAAAATGTGATGATTTATAAGTAACATAAAAAAGATGAACAAATGAGATAAGTTAAACATCGAGTTTTAAGTGTAAATCAACATACATGGGTGTTAAAAAGGAATATTAACGGCATGTTACATCCCCCTTATGTAAAACCGCAGGATGTGATCTGTCACTCACCTGTCTTCTATGGTACTTGAACAGCAATAACACTATCTGCACATATACGTCCGGTCCTATCTGTTCTTTCTAATAAAAATGAAAGAGAGAAAATATCACGTAAACACATATATACATACACACATGCATGTATCTACGACACATACATATTATAAAAATAAAATGTAAGTAAGAAACATGATGCTTCTCTCTTTTGGTCGGACCCACGTGAACGTAGTTGACACGTAGTGAAGAAGGAAGAAAAGTAGGAGGAGGAGGAGGTGAAAAGGGGGAAGAGGTGAGGGAGAAGGAAGTGGAGGAGGATGAGCATCGAGTAGTAAACACGTATATACATATACATACATATACATAAATATATGCCAGTAAGTTTTCGTGTTAACCCCATGAGTATAGAGAAAGGTGCCCCACCGTCGTCGTTCAATATTAGAGAGGCGCTTCTTGACTTATGTACGAAAGATGGTGGTGGGCATCGAGTAGGGAGAAACGGGCCTCTGGTCCCGATCTGTCCTCAGTTCCTATGCGAGCTTCCATTCGATATCGTTCGGTCTGCGCGTCCGATTAATTTCTCATCTTTTATTCTTCTTTCTTTCTTTCTCTCTCTCTTTCTCTTTCTCTTTTTTTCTCTCTTTTTTTCACTTAAATTTATATTTTTTTCATTGTTCAATGTTATTCGTTCTACTTTAATTTCTTTTTATTTTCTTTTTCTATCACCATGTCATCGGCAACAAGTTAACATCCAACGTACGACCTTGAAGAAGGGCTGATCATTTAAAATAAGAAGATCAACGTGTATAGCCCACCTTCCCATTTGACAAGACTTATAGTCTTTTGTTTTTTGGATTAAAAACTCACTTTTACCGGATCATCATCATCATCATCATCATCATCATCATCATGAGGTCCTTCAAATTGGTAATTATAAGGAACTCCTCGTCTAGTTGTTAGCTCTCCAAGTATCTTCGCTAGAATCATAGGTAAAAGCTATTATTAGATGGAATTGTTATTCTACGAACGCTTCCACTTTCATCGTAATAAAGTGCATCGCACTTCGCAGCAGGTGGAAACGAGGAAAGTTCATTTCGTTTGTATTGTATTTCTGTTACTATACCGTAGTGGTATTTATTGACACGCTCGTATTTTCTCAACAATTCTCGACACGCTCTCCATTGTCGGCATTGAACCGCTTTGACGGTCAAGATCGAAATTTCATTTCTTTCAATCTCACATTATATATCCTTTCGTTTCTATTTTTATTTTAAATATTATTTTATTATTATTATTTGTCAGATATGTTTTTGTAGGATCAGGTAGCATCGTTATAAAATCAGGTGATTGCATAATTAGCTTATATTAAGAAAGCTAATCAGAGTTTTCTAGCGCTCATATCCGGGGGGATAAAAGGTGATTAACTCGGTTTAGCTATAAGGAGAACATGAACTGACTCGGGAATCATTTATCGAGGCAAAGACTAACTACCTACCAACGTACCTGTCCATTCGGTGTCGGTTGAATACAAATCGATCAGCCTTCTATGGGCTTACAGGATATCTTTTCTCGATAGGCTTGAATCAGGTCAGTCGGTTAATCACGCCGTCGTATAAACCGTTTCCGTGAAGAGGATGATTTTTCTTCAACGATACGATTTCTTTTCGATCAACTTTTATTTATATATTTGTATGTTTGTATATATGTAATTGTATATGTATTTAGGTAACATTCGATAATAATTAATTTTATAGGTAATAATCCTGGCGGCGATCATCTTCGTCACGAGTTATGCCAAAGAGGAGACTAACAAGAATCGCGACAAGAGACAACAGATACCTTATCATGTCAGAAGGGGTGGTAGACCACCACCTTATGCCGTTCAAATGGAACCGATCGTTCAATATTCGCAAAGAGATCCGCTCTATAATCCTTTGATAAATTCAAAGAACGATGACCTCGGTATATACGAAGAAAATCCATTGAGTTATTATCCATCAGAACCAGAACCAATTATTGAGATTATTATAAAGGAATCAAACGAAACCTTACCGACTCCTGTACCACCACCGACGCCACCACCGTCAAGACCAACTAAAGAACCAATACAAGTTTATTACGTAAAGTATGAAAAGAAAGGAGGCTATGGAGAGAAATCTCGAGTTGTCTACGATCCACCCGTACGTGCTTTGACACCGGTTGAAGAACACGAAGAAATCAAACCCAATCATCATAAGGAAGAACCTATCCAACCGGTAACACCATCGTCACCTCCAGAACCAACGACCACTTTGAGAGCCATCATTCGACCAGAAAGCGAGACTTATCATTCCGGTGGTAGTGGAATTCGTGTTACTTTTGGTACTGATAAATTACCGCCTAACAATCACAACAAACGTAATGATATTGAAGCACTGAATTCTACTCATGTTACCAAACCACATTCTCTTGGTTCTGTTGCACCTGGTACGCCTAAACGACAACATGGTCCTTATCAGCCTTTGCAACCAGTACAACAAAGAGTACCACCTGCATTCCCACAACAGAGAGTCGTTAATTCTTTTCAACAACCGTTATCTTTAATACCACAACAACAACAACAACAGCAACAACAGCAACAACATCAACAACAGCAGCAACAGCATCAACAGCCACAACAACAATTAAAATTTATACCGCAACGACCACAACAATTTCCACCAGCTTTATCTGTGAGAAATCAATTACCGCAAAGACCACAGCAACCATCTTTGCCAATTCAGGGTTTGCCCGATTTATCTCAACGACCGCCGACTACCGCTTTCGGACCTCCTCATCGTATAAGTATAAATCATCCTCAACAACCTGGACTTCCACCAACGCTCTCAGTTTCTCATCAAAGCGTGCAAATACAAAATCAACCGCTTGGACCTATTCAACCTAATTTTAATGGAGAAAGGAAACTACCTCAGTCTCCACAGCCACCGCAACAACAACAGCCACAACCAACAGTATTTTCGCAACAAGAACAAGAAAAACAACGATATCACGAACAACGACGTCAGCAAGAGGCATTGAAACAACGCGAACATCAACGACAACGTGAACAACAAAGGCTTCATGAACATCGTAGACTCGTTGAATTACAACGACAGCTCGATCAACAGAGACAAATAGAACAGCAAAGACAGGTTGAACAACAGAGACAAGTGGAACAGCAAAGATTGGCGGATCAGCAACGAATTGTTGAACAACAAAGATTCGCGGAACAACAAAGATTGACGGAACAACAGAGATTGGCGGAAGAACAGAGATTAGTTGAGCAACAGAGATTAGCTGCTGAACAACAAAGATTACAGGAACGACAAAGATTACACGAACAGCATCGAATTCAGGAACAAAGAAGACGCAAACAAGAACACGAACAGAGACTCTTGCAAGAACAACAATACCGTACATCTTTGAAATACAATCAGGCTGTACCTCCGCAAGGTGGTATTCCGGGTCAACTTCAATTACCTATTCAAAAACCAGAAGGAGAAATCTTTAAAGCCGTGCCAAAGTTGGAACAACATTATGCGATCCGAGAGAATCCATTACACCCAGGCCCATTCCCACCAAATCCAGTACAATTATCATCCTTTCCCGAAAGTTCGTTGAATCAATTTCAAACGACGCATCAGTTAAACACCTTACAGGATTCCCGACAAAACTTGGGAGGTCAATCGAATCGAATTTTAAACGACGACATACCACGACAAATTCAACAAATAGAAAACCAGCAAATCTCCTCGAGTCATCGACATTTAACATTTAACACCGACTCGTTGGGACAGACGCAACTTACGTTGACACCATCTATAAGCACGCAACAACAGCATCGTCAAAGAGAACAACAATCATTCTGGGAACGTTCGCCATCCCAAAACAATGACATACAAAAATCCCAAACAATTTATGCAACACCCGTTAGTATCCCAACAGAATTTGGATCGTCAACCGGTAGAACGTCGTTCAGAAACAGTCCAACATATTCCACAAGTACGACCACAACTACCACAACAACAACGACCACAACCACTACGACCGAAGCACCGACCACGACGACAGTCTCACCGAAAAACGAAGCCAAGATCAAGGAGAACATTGCTAATTTACCTGATGAAGTACCAGACGATATAAGGGAACAACTTTTAAGTTCCGGTATTTTGGGTAACGCTGACATACAAATACTCGATTACGACAAGGTCGGTGGCATACCAATCGAGAAATTACCGCCCGAGGCTTTGGCAAATTTCTACGGTGCTGGAGGTGGTGCGGCGGTAGCTGCGAGTGAGCCAATACCATCGATTATTAAAAAACCGGATAACGTTCCACTGTCGAATAAAGAAGACAGCGTAGCTTCCGGTTCATCCGAGAGCGCGAGTACGGTAACGAAAGACGATGATCAACCAAATAAGGAGAAAATGATGGAGAGCACAATCATGGGTAGAACCAAGTTCGAACAGGCCACTTTGAGGCCAGGTGGAGTTGAGATGAAAGTAGTACGTTTCGATCCAAGTACGGAGCAAGGCCGAGCAGTGGCCGAGCAACATATAAGACCAGACGCGACAAGACTCGAACCGGTAACAGTAGGTCCGAAAAATCACGACCAATACAATCGTTATTTACCGCTCAAAGTAAGCGGTGCTTCGTTCCCTATACCGAATGTCCCTGACCTAGAAGGTCGTAAGATAACTAGCGTGGTCGTACTTGCCCCAGTTGATTATCGTTTTCAAGAAAAGGAAAAGGGACTCGAAACCAGAGAAGATAGAAAGATCGATGATATTCAAGCAGTCAAATTTGTAGCCGGTGAAACACTCAAACAACTCGTTAAAAAACCTACCGCCGATAATTATCAAAAATGGTTAGAACAGGAAAGTCGTACTGAACCTCAGAGACAATCGGTTGTATTATTAATCACCATGTAAGTTGGAATATAACTTAAAGGATATTATTTGATTATTTTTTCATTTTCAATTTATCTTATTTTATTTTTCAGGCCTTCCAGTGATCAAAGTAAAAACGATAAGGAAATATTCATGTACGATGTCAATTCAAAATCGGTCAGCAAAATGTCGGGGGATTTGTCAACGGCCTTTGTCGATGCCGCTGAAAGTAACACGGACGGCAGCGATGACTTTTCTGCATTTTAAATTGTCAACTGTGAACTCTTCTCTCACTCTCTCACTCTCTCTCTAATCCATCTCACTGTCTAACGTCTTTGATTAGAATCTAATCTCTAAGTAGAATAGATTAGTAATATCGACAATCAAGATTTGTTAATATTATTTGTATACCTCCATACAGTTTTGATATTAATGTTCTTTTCATTCTCAACACGTACATACTTACATATGTGTATCGTCAATAACTTATGTATATGTACATGTACATACATATATAAAGAACGTTCGAACTATCGAATCGAGGATGATGATTTCATGCGGATAACGAAGCAAAAGCGAAAGTCCTGTAAGCTGGAAATAGAAAACGTTCTCGGAAAGTTACACGTGAGGAATAGCACATACACATACACATACACACACACACACACACACACGGCACCTAGCAACGAGGATTTCTAGCAATTTCTAGGACGACCGGTATTGCCGGTTTCAAGAAATCATTCTTATTTAGTTAAAAAAAAAAAAAATACAAAACAAAAACTCTAACAAAAAATAAAATACGCAGGATACGTTTGACGGATTTGAAAAATGAACACAATGATGACTCGAGGATAACGAGAGATACTTCTTGTAGATATATTAACGATGTATGATTATGTATATATAATGCAGATCCTTTTTTTACATTTTTTATACGAAATAAAATGCAATCATTTTGTACGAGGATGTGTTTGAACTCTCTCCTATTTAAATTCGACGAAATAATCGAACGAAAGTAACATCTTCTCACAATCCTCATTCCCCATCCACAATCTTCCCTGAAGGTTCCTTTCTTTAAATATCAGTGAATGGATTCACTTTAAATTCTATGAAATAGCGTAGATATATTGCAAGCAATTCACTTCCATTTTCTACGTGCCACACATTTCATTTTGTGTGGTGAACTTGACGAATTCATGAAAATTATTACATTTGTTTAACTTTTATCGGTTATATGATTTTTATATAATTGATTAAAAATATTTATGATGACAATAGTAATAATAATAATAATAATAATAATAATAATAATAATAATAATATGATTAATAGAATAATAGTGAATTTCTTGCATTTTTTGAAAACGTTACTACGTTAATCAAATAACATGAATTTCTATATATTTCTAATAATAAAAACTCTATATAGTAATCTATGAAAAAGATTATCTTAAATCGGAGAATATAAAATAATTTAACGTGGATTTTTTTTTTATAACTGCTTCTACATTTAATGTGATCGTCATACACATGTGAAAACTCTAATTGTTACATGTACATAGTGCACGTCGTTATAAAAGAAAGCAATTACATATAATGTAATATATATATTTCATCCTAAACTTTTTTAAAAGATCTTCGAGAGGGTTTTTAGTAAGACCAACGGAGAAACGAAACAAATGAATTTTTGTCAAGAAATAGAAAATGATAGAGATAGGGTATATTATATAAATAAAATTTATAAAAATAAAAGGATAGATTCTTTTAATTATAAATCGGCCTAACGGTAAATTGTTTAATGCCAAAATTATTTCTCATTTTTATTAATTCCTTTTTTTTTCAAATATATAATTCGATCTCATCGGTTTTTTTTATTTCTTTTTTAAAATCCGTTTCTCCGTGTTTGCCTATTTAAAATTGATTCTCACTTTGTACGTACCAAAATATTTAAGAAAAATTAATCGTTAATAAATATTTCAAATTTCGATATAGTATATCCGTATATATAGGTAAATACTTATTTATGTGTGTATGTGTACATATACATATATAAATAAATATATTAACCCTTTGCACTCGAGAAAAGACACTCAGTCGCCATGACGTTTTATACGATAAATCGAGTGCCTATTTCTTTTTCCTTCTTCCTTCTTCTTATTATTATTAATATTATTATTATTACTATTATTATTATTATTGTTAGTATTATTATTATTTAAAAGTAGCTGTAAGAAACTTGCTTAATATTCGTAATATTCTCTAGAGTTAATTTACTAGTTTACCCTAGTGAAAAAATCGTCGAGAGCAAATGGTTAATATTTTTTCAATATGTCGGCATCGATAATCGATAATTGAATATTAGAATTCTATTTAATTATATATATATATTTTTCTCAATTTCGAAATATACTTGATAATAAGAAGAAAAGGTTTTTGTTTGTGTGTATTTTTTTTATCGTGTTATATAAATTCTACCACCCCTAATATTTTCCCCCTTCTATAACTAAGAATACGATTAATAATAACAATAATAATAATAATGAATAATGAATAATGAATAATAATAATAATATAGTAATAATAAATTCTAACGATAAGTATATTTTGCTTGATACATGAATAATTTTTATTGGTTAGCACGAAACAAATAGTGAGCGCCGTGCACGTACAAACGCGCGCGCGCGTGCGCGCTTCCCCTTGTGTTTCTCTGTGTGTGTATATATGAAAAAGTGTGTATTTGTTTGTATTTTTTTTTTCTTTCTCTACAATAATATGTGTACACGTGTACGCGCGTGTGTGTATGTGTATCATCTTTTTTTTTTCTTTTTTCTTTCTTATATATTGTTACTATCTTTTTTTCTCGATAAAATCATAAAACAAAATGCAAGAACTGGTACTGGATATACAAAAAAAAACCCTTTCGCTCCGGAATAGTCGAGACGAAAATATAATCGCTGGATACGGAGTTTTTTTTTTTCGTATTTAATCGAGTATTTTTCGGGAACGTATATATACGCTCTTCGTACATTAATGGGTCATTCTTCGAGAGCGTATATATATGTCCATCGGAGCGAAAGAAATAATTAAATTATAACTTCGTTCATTATCGTAATTAACTTCTTCGTCATCGATTATTATATTATATTCATCATGATTATAAACAAACGAATAAAAATTATTATTGTTACAACGTATATATATATACATACATATATATATATACGTATATATATGTGTGTGTATATATAGTGTAAAAAAAAAAAGAACAGAAAAAAAAGAAAAAAGAGAGAGAGACGCAATGTTTATCCGTAAATATAAATGGTTGGTTTTCATTTTTCTTTTTTTTTTGTTCTTTTACTAACGGTTTGTCGAGACGCATTTAAACGATATGATTTTTTTTTTTGAAATTTCAACACGCAAAATGACGTCTGGTTTTTTTAAGCTCTAATTTGACATTTTCTGTCATACAGTCTCTTTTGGTTTTTAGTATTTATTTTAGTTTTTCTTTTTTTTCTTATTTTTTTTCCTTTTTTCTCTTAAGACAGAATATTTGTTTTGACTTATTTATATTTCTTCGTTTTCATTTTCGTTTTCGTTTTCAATATTTCTTTTCATTTTCATTTGGTTTTTTTTTCTCTCTTAAAAATCACAAAAATTAAAGCTCTTGTATACATTATACGCATTGTAATCGTTTTTTTCTTCTTTTTTTTTTTTTTTAAATAAACGGAATAATCATTTTTCTTAAAGCTTATTATTAGATTTTTGTTAATATTGGGATCGCGGAATTATAATCGTATTTGCCCGATTAATTTTATATACATTGAGTCACAGGAATATTGGTATTATCACTGTCAATTTAAAGCAACCAATATTTTCATTTAACACAATATTGCAAAACTCGCATACACTGAAACATTTTAAAATTATTAAACTCTTTATAATTAATATAAAGTTTATTCCAAAAGAATATTTCAATTAAAGAGAAGTAAGAAAATTGGTCTCACAAAATATAAATACGCCTAGTCGTCTCAAAAGCATTGCAAGATGCTAAGAAGGACCAACCAAGTACTACTTAGAAAAATAATAATTGTATTTTTATTATATCTTACACGTAGGTACAAATACTCTTGTGAAACCAATTTGTTATCATTTAGGTAAAGTTATATTTCTCTAATAAAATATTCTTTTACAATAAAATTAATATTAATTTGCAAATTTAATAATTTCAAAATATGTTTATGTGTATAGCAAATTTGAATCTTCACATTATATATATGTATATATATACATATATATAGTAAATATCAATTACTTCAAATTTACAGTCGTAGGTAGTACAACTACTCCTGTAACCCACTATATATAAATATATATATATATATACACATATATTCTTATTTAAATATTAATATATAAAAATGTTGATATACCAAAGGAAATACTAGATTTTATTTTATTATAATCATTCGATCGAATTTTCTTTGGATGAAATGCAAATGAAAACAAAACAAAAAAATACAAAATGAACGAGCTTTACGTATACTAAATAAATTAATAATTTATAAAGTGACGATATTTATGGGATCATTTTTTAAATTACAAAAATAAAAGAAAAAATGAAAGATATATTACTATTAGAATGAAATTTTGTTTCTGCATGAAAATTCGATCGAATATCTTTAAAACACATACAAATACATATATATATATATAGAAAAAGAGAGAAAAAGAGAGAGAGAGAGAGAACGAGTAAAACGCATTAAATTCGGGCAAAATAAGATTATTGCAATTTAGATAGAAACAAAATTTGTCGGATACTTTTCAAAATACAATATAATCGTTCGTGTTACACACGTATCATTTGTTTGTTTGTTTTTTTTTTTTAATATATACATACACATGCATACATACCACATTGGTATGTAATGCGCGCACGTTTTTTTTTAACGCGTAAATAATCTAAAGAACGCGGTCATATGTGCGCGCGCGCGCGCCAACTACACATACACTCACACAAAGAACACGTCCGAATGCAAAATTGCTTAAATACTACATAAACATTTCAATATTTCCATTTCTATAGACTTTTTTCAAACATCATATTTTTTCTTTTTGCACTTTAACATTAAAATAATTTCATTTGAGAGAACTAATAATAAGATTTAACAAAGATATTGAACACAAACATTACCTATGCTAGGAGCGCAATTAGACATGCATTTAATTATAAATAACATGTAAATAGCAAAATTTTATATATATATATATTTTTATATATATATTCTTCTATTTATTTATTTATATATATATATTTTGTAGATAAAAACTTCTATCAGCAATTCACTTATTTATTTATAATTAAATGATAAATTTGAATTGTATACTGCAACAATAATAATCTGATTTGTGCCTAAGTTAGCGAAGAATAAGAAGAAAGAAAGAAAATAAAAACAAAATTAAGAAATGAAATTGTCTATTAAATAAATTTACGATCAAAGAAAATATTATTTCATAAACTTTCACATAATTTAAAAAATAAAACATACAATTTAAATCAATAATAAATTCTGACAACTATTCAACAATGATATAGTATCCAATTGCAAAACTAAAAAATAAATATTGCACTTTAATTGAACATTTGCGATACTAAAAATATTTATCGTTATTAAATGTATTAAATCTGCGGTTTGCATTAGCAGAGATTACAGCATACGTACGTATAAGCTTAAATAACTATAAGATACTAATATGTGTGATGAATTGTCTACAATATACACGTTTAAATGTACATTACACATTGTTAATTAGAAGTCACATTGAATTTGCACTAATATTATAATATTTAGAATCAAATATTAATACATTAATGCAAATCGATGCACATTTATAAATTACAAATGAATGAAAAAGAGACTTTAATCCGTTTATACCACCAAAAAGAAGCATACGTGAAAGTAAGAGATTAATTATCTTAAAATCGTATGTTACACGTATAATATTCGTGTGCAGTACTTTATCTTTTAAACGTAAAACAGAAATTCTGATATCTCTTTAATTAAATAATATGAACAAAAAAAATTAAAGAATCGTAAATATTCATTGTATTTTTTGTAACTTAATAAAATCAATTTGCTTTATTTTAAAAAACTATTGCGCATGGACGCATATACTCAAATACGCCTACACATCGTACATTTTAAAATAATAGTTTCCACTAAGCGCACTTTTAAATAATCTTCCAAAGATTCCTATTTTTAAACCATTATTATAGATATTTCAATATACATATATAATTTTTAAAGTTTTGAAAAACAAAGATAACGAAAGTAGAATCTCATACCTTCACGTTTAATAATTAAAATTTATACTCTCAATGTAATATTTATAATCAATATAAAAGAAAAAAAAACGCGCGGGCTGCAAAAAGAAACCAAATCGTGTTCAGCCGTAATAAATTGCACGAATAATTTATCTGTAACTTTGACATTCATTTCAAATACATAAACACAAGTCAATACTGCTTCATATATAAAGATGGCTTACTCTATCTGTTTTTTTGCATTAAAAGTTCCTCTCTTGTTTTCTTTGTGTTTATATATATATATATATATATATAAAACCAATCCGATAAGAAATCGTCGCTAACGGCATTCAACGTTCATTGCCTCTTTTCATCATATATGGATGTACAAATGAATACATTCTATTTTAAATTCCCCCAATAGACTAGTGTTTTTTTACAAGCAACCTTGCATCCGGAGTTAAATATCTATTATTTGGATTAATTATAATATGTATATAAACATGTAATAATACAACATCTCTTGTCATAAAAAATCGTAAGCCTTAGTCTTGATTCGAACAAGGTCATTTGTAATTACAGAATGAATCATTTTCATCACCGATAAATAAAGAAATCTATTCCTAATAATTAGTAAAAGATATAATTGGATTAGCCCCCATATAGATATATGCTTTGCTACATAAGAAAAGGCAGTTAAAATACTACACAATTACAAAGATAAAATAGAATGAAAGATACAAAAAAAGAAATAACCATTTTCCATAGTTTTCGAAAAAAAAAAAGAAAACAAAAATAATAATAATAATAATAACAATAATAATAATAATAATAGTAATAATAATAGTAATAATAAAGGAACAGATTTCTTATATTTATATCTGCATCAAATTTGTTTATACTTTAAGAGTAGCTTTCGGAGACCAGTGATGAAAACGGGTTGGGCCAGCGGGATAAGAAGTAGGAATCCATTTGTTTCCCCGATGGCCCATGAAGGGAGGTGGAGATGGGCCACTCAAAAAAGGAGGTGGCACGATATTATACCACGGATGAGTAATTGTATGGGGTCCATAACCCATGCCAAAGGAGTGACCAAACCAAGTACGATTTCTGTTAACATGGAGTCTGGGACTGTTCAAATTGCGCTTCCTACCTGTACCAGTACTGTTATGATGTTGATTTTGATTCGCAGAGCTCAAAGGTTTAACTTCATGTTGTTCTTCCATAGTAGGAACTAATGGGGTTTTCTGTAAAATATTTTATATGCAATTATTTCTTTATCTACATCAAAAATAACATATAAATATCTAAATGTATAATTCTAGTATTTACCAGCATTTTTGTTTGCCTCTCGGATTGTTTATTTTCTTTTTCTGCTTGATGATTTTTTTGAAAAATTGGTACGGTATTTTCTTTATCATCGAATGATGCCAATGTGCAATATGAACCCTTACTTTCTCCAAAACGACAACAAACTTCGTTAGGATCAACCCAAAGCGTCAGCTCTACTGGGAGAGACAAATCTTCGTACTTAACTCCGGCAGCATTAGCCGCACTCTCCAATGTTGCATCCCTTCTATTATGCCCATTAACACGTATGCAACGATAACCTTGACCTTTGAATGGCTTATCCGGAAACCAATGATTTTTAAAACGTTCCGTCAACAATTCAACTAAATGTTGCTTGAAACATTCCAATTGATCGGGACTAAATTTTTCGTTTTTTTCTATCAGCTGTACTAAGAACAGTACTGCTGCTGTAATTTCGTTGCGCATGATACCAATATTGAGTAATAAACTTATAAATTGCAGACTTGTTCCTCTTCTGATAGGTTGAGACAAGATTTTTGTAAACTAAAGTATCATTCAAGAAAACCGATATGGAGTACATAGAGCCCTTTTGCGACGTTACAACGTTTGAATGTTTCAAGATCTATGTTTCCTTTTTTGTTATAATTATAAACACCTTCACTGTTTTTCTTTTCCTTGCATTTAAATTTTTTTAAGGTTGACCTGAAAATAAACACAAATAACTTACATTAGTATCGTACTCTTTGATGTCCCTTTTCTTTCAATATCTCTAATTCTTGCATCATATACAAATGAGGTCATAGTAGTAAAGTATTTCTTCAACTTAAATAAACATTCAAATATACTATCAAACAAATATATTAATGCAATAAAAAGATTATTCTAATAATGAATATTCATACAAATCAAAATTATCTTAATTACGCTGTTAAATCTATCTTACAGATAAACGTCAACTAATATTAGATATTATTAACATATCTCAAGTGCACTTATAATTAGATTCACAATATTAATAATATAGAAGTAAATCTGGATTAAGATTAACAACACATTCAAAGCGAACTACATAACAATATGTTATGCATACAACAGTTGGACTATGATATTTCGTTTAAAAGGTTAGGAATATTTCGTAAATAAATAGGAGAAAAAAATATTTATAATCAAGATATATAATAATAATAATTATAAGTTTCTATGTGTTATAATCGTAATTTCTACATACGAATAGCCTACGTTTGATAAAAATTGAGAAAAGTTTAGTTTTTTTTCCAACCAACGAGCAATTTATGCCAGCTCATTCTTATGCCAAGGGAAACGTGTGGCAAGCAGCAGATATATGTATTTCTAACATCACTATTTTCAAACTTCTCAAATAAACGATTAATATTCGATACTAATCACTATTCATGTCTGACACGTTTGAATAACACACTTATACTTATTATTATTATAATTATAATGATGATAATGGTAATATTAAATTAATCTTACGGATTAAATAAGGAATAAAAGCCCGTATTTCTTGCTAAACTACTACGTCCTCTCCCTCTTTAAATAAACGTACTCGACCCAACACGTGTTACGTTGCATTAACCATAAACCATACAAACATAGATTTGACATCTGTCATAAATCTATTGACAAATATTATATTCATTTAATTATCAACAAAGTATCATTTTCTATTATTATTATCTTATTTTATTTTTAAGCATAAATAAATCTATTTTTTTATTATTATTATTATTATTATTGTTATTATTATTATTTTATTTTTAAATATTTTATATATTTATATTTAATTAAGAAATATTACTTTACATATAAAAGTTGAAAACAATTGGAATAAATATGAATGCCTAAATTAGTCAGTTTTAAATAAAAATACAAAATTAATGTATATGTGAATAATTAAAATTTCGTTTAACAACATTTAAACTATAATTATTAATTTAGAATTATTTAAACGATTTCATTTTATTTTAATCGTCTAAAGAATTGATCAATTTATTTTGAAAAAATAAGAATTTAACAAAAAAAAAAAAAGATAATTATATATATTCCAAAATTTAAGTAGAAATAAAACAAAATAAAAATATCCGAAGTCAACAAACATTGAACGCGGCATAGTTTGAGAAGTCCAAACACGTGACTACAATGTAATCTTAAAAAATAAATAAATCAAATGCAAATTATACACGCTATTATATTTGTCGTGTAATAGTAACAACAGTCTTGGTAATTAATTACATCATATATATTCGAACATCAACATCAATATATTCTTAATCTTTGTTTTGTTACAATTATTTTTTACTAATTTAACGATAAAGATAATATATATAAAAAGAAATGAAAAAATAATAATATAAGTTATAAAATCATAAGTTAGATTAAGATGGTTAACCTAGAAGATATTAGTCGTCAGCTTTTGAAATCATCAAAAAATTTATCGAGTTGGAACTTTCCACTTTCAGAAGTAAGTATAAGTTTAGGATTAATCACTAATAGATTTATTTCAAATGATCCATTACAAATTGTATTATTACTATGTTCCAGATTCTAACAGAATATTATTCTTTACTGGAAGGAAATTGTGATGTTAATTTTGGAGAAGCTGCATTAATCCTTCAAAATTCTGTTAATATTTACACGCACAGAGTTGAACGTCTTCTCAATGAAACTGCAAATTTAAATGAAACTTTTATTGATTATGAGTATGTATTTTTATTAAAAATTACTATACTGGCGATAGTAAAAAAAAAAAAAGAATAGATAATAAACTTTGGTTTTATAGTTTGGAGAAAGATGCTAATGCAAATGAAAGTTCTCAACGCAATACAAAAACTTTGAATAAAAATTCAATCAATTTTGATGATTTTAAATTATGCAATTTGTCGGATAACATTGGAAAAAATATTAATACAAAGAATAAATTTAACATTGAAAAACCAGTGAAATTGTTAACACGACGATTTGTTCAATTGGAAAATGTCATTGAAAATCCTGTGGCTAATGCGATAGAAATAATTGATATTCATGGGGATATTATAGGGAAAAAATATGATTTCAGGTATATTAATACAGTAACAGTATATTAATCGTTTATTTATATGTTTTTAATGATGAATTTATATATTTAGATGTAATCAATATTTGAGTATGAACGGTCTACTGATAGATGAACCTACTCCGGATGGTAAATTTATACTCTTTATTATCTTAAGAGAAAGTAATTAAATATTTATTGTAATTAATTTGTTTTTAGATTTTAAAATAATGGACAATGATAATTCTGCTACTTCGGGATATTGTTCGAATACGTCGATATTTGATAGCTCTTATAGTTCTAATAATCCAATTGATACAACCAATTTAACCACTGATAATAACACAGAAACTTTAATAAATTATTCTTCATCACCAGTAGAAGAACTTGCTGATTGTTCAGTCAATATGGATGACTTTAATGAAACAAACGATACAATTTATGAAAAAGAAGAAACTACAAATATTGCTGAGAAAAAAGAATCGCAGGATAATTCTAAAACTAATAAAGAATTATTTAATAATTGTGATACTAATATGAATAACACGGACAATGTGTGCAATATTTCTAATAAAATTCAATCTTCTAACGAAAGGTATAAATAATTTTTATGAAAATTTTTAGAGTTAAAATGTAAAGTGTACAAAATTATAATAATATCATATATAATCCTTTTTATTTGAAAACAAATACAATTTTAGAGTAAAAGAAATAAAAATTCCAATTAATATCAAGAAAACTTTTAATCCAAAAATGTGGGAACCAATATCCCTTACACATAATATTTCAATAAAAAAGAAACGTATTGATCTACTAAATTCAACCTCTTCGATAATTTTGAAGACTGAACGTGTAAGTTTAATATCAATCTGATTTAACTATTATATTATTACTCTATAAATTTATAAAAACTAATTTCTATTTTTACATTTATAGAAAAAAAAGAAAATGATCTCACAAATGCACAAAAACGAAGGCGTGGTAAATTTTCTTTTGAAAGAATCTAAAATGTCGCAAGACAAATATTCTACACAGAGATCCAAAAAACAATTACTTCCACAATTCAGATCAGGCAAGAAATTTATATTATTAATTTTTTTTTTTTTTTTTAATTACGATGATGGTTATTTAAGTAATTACTATTGATTTTTGTAGAAGAAGTTGATGAAATACAAAAGGTTTTCAAGGATTGTTTCAAAAATACAGAAAGCTTAAATTCTTTCGATGATCAAGTAATAAACTCAACAACGAATGATTTAAGAATGAGAAAGGATTCTATCGAAGATGATTTTTTATCGGATGATACATTTTATGAAGATTCTGGTATAGTAACATATACGTCGAGTTTACCCGATTGCAATATCAGTCAAATTTCTTCAACTGATTTAAGAGTTTCGAGAGTGGATAACATTACCTCCCAAATTGATTTGCAACTTTCTTTACCAAATTATGAAAGACTGATTGAAGATGAAATGAAAGAATTATTTGAACATTCGGATGTTAAGACTGAACTTGATCATAAAATAATGAAATGGCATCAATCGATGCAATTGAAACTTGCCGAAGTCGAACAAAGGCCAATGTTTTGTATACAAAACTATGCATCTCAAATAATGAAAAAGTTGAACGATAAAATTCAGACTAATAAAAATCAGAACATCTCTTTCGATGATATTGTTAAAGACGAACAAAGATATGACACAGCTAGATATTTTCTGGCATTATTACAATTGGTATGTATAGTAAATTAAATTAAAAGAAAGCATAAAAATATAAACTTTTAATAATGAATAATTTCTTTGTAGGCCAATACTTACAACGTGGATTTAAAAAAGAACAAAACTATTGACGAACGTATAGAAATCGTATTACTCGATAAGAGTAGTAAAAATGCTTCAAATTAAATTAAAAAATATCTAAAAAGATTTACTAATCAGATGTTAACCAAAGATATAAACCAGTGCTGTTAGGTTTAATAATAATATTAATATAAAATAAGAAACTTTTTGTGTATAAATAATATAATAGAAAAGAAATATTTTTCATAGAGTTATTTTTACACTTAACTTACAAAACTAATGAATTGTAAAAATGAATGGTAATTATTTCTATATAAGTTTTTTCTAATTAATATAATAATATTATGAAATGTTGGATCATAAACAAAACAATATCTAATTGTAAGAAGTATTTTCTTATCCTGTATAATAATCTAATGTTAACTATGGTGTTAACGAATATGTACTGTGATGTAAATAAGATATCGTATGTAGACGCGTGACCTTAAGAATGATAAAAAAAGGAATAATCATAATCAGCTAGTGTTACATTTAAAGTTTACATATCAATTGTATATAGCGTATTACCTTACAATTGATTACAATGTTTTGAAGTGCACGCGCCAGTAAATATTTGTACCCTTACGCAACGACAGGTGGCGATAACCTCGAAAAAATACAACGGTGATCATTCGTGGTTGTGTATGTCTTCTTGTAAGATCAACCGGAGTACACAATCTAGAGAACATGTATCCATTGTTCTCGGATAATACTTTGTGATATGTAATAATTGTCCCTTAAAGTGCCTATTATTGTTATATTTATTGTTATTTAATATTTATAATAATATAATGTTTTTATTTAAAAACTAAATTATTAAAATTTAACATTATTTATCTTGTTTGTTAATTATTGACAAAATTCAATTGAAATGTGTTGACCTAGAAATATTTAGATTTCATTTATTCAAATATGTCGAATATTTAATGAAGAGGACTTAATGTTCTTCGACCATCGATGGTAAATACTTTCATAATTTACATCATACAAGATAACAATGACTAATGAGTTCCTGCGTTATTATAGATTGTTATTGTAATACGTTTTCCGTATCAGTTTGGTTGAAATATTTTCAACCAAGATCTAATCTTACTCAATATAAATTTGACAATATTGTTAACAGTATAGAAATATTGATTTGCATAATTAAATAACGTGTTAAGAGGATATTAAATAATATAGAGAGAGTAGTATACGTTCTTGGAAAAATATTAGTAATGCATTTAATCAGCTTATCTTTTAAATCATATGGTTTTATTAATATTTGTATGAGATATTGCGTATGTGTAATTAATGAGATTTCCTTTTATTAATCGTAATTTAATTAATTAATGCTTTTATTATAACATATAATCTTATATTTATGTGCAGGATCCTGTTTGTGCTATAAATATTAGCAATGCATCTACTCACTCATATCAACCATCATGTATATCTGTTTTAAGGATATAAGAAACCTTATTTTTTATGCTTGATTATGCATTTTTGTTGTTACCGTTGTTATTTGAATGTAATGGTAAATAATTTTATTTGCCGTTTAAAATAATGTCATTCTTTTGTTTTCCTTATACGCAATTTTAAATAACATTTAAATATTTGTTAGGATATTTCGTGACAGTGCCATCAAATACGAATGATTAAAGGAATTTTTTACAATAATACAAACTTACGAAATGGATAGTTCTGAATATGAGATGGTCAGAAATATGACACTTTTATTCTTCTTTGAACGTTTAATGGACAAAGGTGGACCACGAACGCTACATGATTTAAGTTGTCAATTTGGAGCTAAAGGATTTACTAAGGAAATGCGTCAAATAGCTGGTGGTTCTCAAAGTGGCCTTAAAAAATTTTTATCTCAGCATCCATCTCTATTTATTATTAATGGTGATTACGTTACTGTTAATACTTTTCAATCTATAATTGAGGAAGACAATGGATCCAAATTAAGCGGAACTCGTGATTATGCAAAAGAAGCGGTAGAATATTTTTCTAATAAATTGATGCAGTATGGAGTAGGAACTGAGGTACCGATAACTAGCCTACTTGGACATCGTTCTCAAGCATCTCCAGAAGTAAGACATATTTCTGGTCAACGTTATAAAGAATTTAGAGATTTTCTTTTGAAGTATCCTAGTACCTTTGTAGTTACGGAAGATAATGTAATGTTAAAACAATATGAAGGAATGAAAGTAAAATTATTTGTTGAACTGGAACCCGATACACCTATCGATCCAGAAATTACCGCTAAATTGTTACAATTTTTGGCTCAATGTATAGAAGAGAAAGGTCCAATTTTTATAGATCAGTTATTTAATTTGGTTAATGAAAAATTTTGTCCTGGAAATTGGACGTCGATATTTAAAACAGTAAGAGATTTATCAACGTTTATAAAAATGTTTCCCGATACGTTTCACGTTCAAAGCAATCTTGTAACATTGTTAGAACGTGGAAAATCTTCAACGATGGAAACAGAAACAAAAAATAAATCTATACAATTGACACGAAATCGAGGTAATAATGTTAATCGAGTAAATGCAGTACAACCAATGACACAATCGAGTACTACGCAAACAGTAAATACAGAAAATGTTGTATGTAATAATAACATCAACAACAACATTGAGAATAATACACCACAAAATGCATCTCCTACACCTGTCGAATCTAACAATAACTGCCCTTTAGTAAGTTTACAGCAACAAACGCTTAAACAAAGAATAAATACCCTTGTAATGAAGACGTTAGCCGATAACACAGATAAAGATCGCAGTTTACAAAGTATTCAAAAAGGTGACGCGTGGAAATTAAAAGTATTACAACAAACGAGAGTAATTGTAAACACTAAAGAAAGTTTACAGATCGTAGAGGATATAATCAATCCTCGGAAAGCTCGTGCTGATAATAATGTTATTTCCTTTGATTGTGAAGGAATTAATTTAGGTGCTAAAGGACAATTAACTCTTATACAAATTGGAACTATGACTGGACAAGCTTATGTCTTTGATTTATTTACATGTCCAACACTCATGCAAGCTGGTGGACTCCAAAAACTTTTAGAAAGTGACAAGGTTATCAAGGTGAGTTTATTGAAACAATTTATATTTTATATAAATACTGAAAAAAGATTTTTTATAAAATTAATGTATTTTCTTAGGTGATACATGACTGTAAAAATGATAGCGTTAATTTATATAATCAATTTAATGTAACGCTGAATAATGTGTTTGATACACAGGTATGTAAATATAATTGGATAACAGGTATGTAAAAATAATTTATATATATATATATACATATATATATTTGATTATTAAAATAATTTATATGTTTATATAGGCTGCACATGCTGTAATTCAATTCCAAGAGACAGGAAAACCGGTATACAAAGTGAAAAATGTCAATTTAAATATCTTATGCGATCATTATGGAGCACAATCCAATCCTTTGAAGGAACAATTAAAAAATATTTATCGTAAGGACCAAAGATACTGGTCTCGTCGGCCTATGACTAGAGATATGTTGATTTATGCTAGTAGTGATGTTCTCAGTCTTGTACCTCGTGTATATCTTTCTACGTCGAGGTAAATTATGCATTTATTATGATTGCAAGAGTTAAGAGAAAAATTAATTTCTTGTTTATATTATTTTCTAGGTTGATCAAGCCAGAGTTTCAAAGTTTGTTTAAAGAATTATGTGAAGAACAAGTTCTAATGCATATTAAACCATTAGAAGTAAAGGCTCGTAAAAAACAAAGAAAAGTAGAGACTGAAGTAGCAGATTTAAAAAGAAAAATGGAAGAGGCAACGTATAAAAACATAGTATTGAGTAACCGAGAAATTCGTCTTCTTCGTTACTTAGACCTTACAGAGGAAGAAAAGGAGAAATTAAAGGGTAATTACAAGGTTGCTAAGAAATTAGAAAAATTAGAAAATATGGGTCAAGAAAAAGGTGATAGTAGCGATGAAGATGATGAAGATAAAATGGAGGATACGGATTATCATAGCATGGAGAGTTATACTTCGGAGAATTCGCATTCTGGTATATTTTATAATATTGAAATAACAAAAGTTTGCATTGCGTAAACTGTGTAAATACAGCTGCGTTACATTCAATGTTTTCTATCCGTCAGATGATTAAATAATGATTGACGTTGTAGGTGGAATATTGTCACCGAGAAATTCCGAGACTCCAAGTTTAACCGAATCTATGCAAATGGTCGATGAAATCCTATCGGATGCACGAATGGATAGGTTGGAAAAAATCGAGAAATTAGAAGCAATACTTTCAGCTGTGACAACGTCTTCGAACGATCAATTATCGCCAAATAGTACAGACATTTCTCCAAGTGGTTGTAAATGTCTAAACGGTAAAGTTGATGATAGCCCAACGAAAGAAAATAAGGAATTTGTTAATACTGCCTGCCAAACGCTTAGTACAGGTGATATCGCGATAACTAGAGTATTTGTCACTGAGGAGGAAAAAGAACGAGTAAGATTACAGAATTCGCCAAAAAAATAGATTTTAAAACGAGCAAACTGCTGCTGCTTTTTTATATAAAATAAATAAGCAGCTAAAAATATATACGTTGCCATTAGTAGGTTCTTTTATAAATATTTCACGAAAACTGAGAAAGAGAAAGAAATAGAGAGGAAGAGAGAGAGAGCAATGAAACAATATGGATTATCTCTATTTTGTGAACTTCATAACTAATACTATTGTTAACAACGATGAACAACGACTCGAGGTTCATTGTAAATACATTTTTTTGTTTTTTTTTTATGCATAATTTCGGACATTTTTCCAAATCTGAAATGTTATTATTAATATCAGATTTTGCTGTGGAAAAATGTATCCTTCTATCATATCATTGACAAGTGATAATGACGATAATGATTATGCTACTAAAAAGAGATTACCTTTCTTTACGATTAGTATAAGAAAGTAAATATAATCAAACAAAAGTAGCTATCTAATCTATCGATCATTACGTTACTTTAAAAATGACGTTAAGATTTAAAAATACAATATATTAATCGCTTATACATTATTGTATAAATCTGATCATGTGGCGTATTTATCGATAACTTTACTAACATATCATATATTCTTTCCATTTAATGGGAAAAACATTTAACTGACATGATAGAGTGCGCACAGGATTAATCGGAGGCTGAAGAAAAGTATTACTAAACAAATAATTCTTACAAATATTGAATATGCGTTTTTAACTAGAACGAATTATTTCATATTTTGTTTTTTTTTTCTTCTCTTTTGTTGTTATACCTTCAGTTCTCTCTTTGCGTTAATCGATAACAATTATATTACCTTGTTTAATGATTAATATATAGAATATTCTCCCACCCTTTTATCAAACTTATTAAGATATCATTTCTTATTTTTTCTCTCTTTTTGTTTTTAATTAAAAATTTAATCCCAGCTTGACAAGATTCGCGCTAATTTTTTTTTTTTAATTAATAAAAACTTCTTTAATTTTTAAAAATAATTGAATAATATTAAAAAAGTATATTCTTATGTTTCACCTTGTTTTTATTTTTCTCAGCCGTTTTAAAGTGCCAAGAGAATAAAGAATGTGTTTAAAATATAAATGATCATGAATAACAATAAAAATAACAATAATTGTCCTTGTTCCATTTTGCAAAAAATGAACGCAGTTAATCATATCTTCTTTATTGTAACTATAAAAAAAGAAAAAAAGAAATGAAATAATAATAGTAATAACAATAAATAATAATAATAATATTATAATAATAATAATAACAATAATAATGATCCTTACATAGTACGTGTATATTTCAAAGGTGTTGCAACATATTGTTTATTGAAAGACAATCATCTTTTGCTTTTGACCAAGAATAAAGCCGTTGTTAAAATCATTGGCACTCATCAATCGATGTCCTGGAATACGTAACTTAGCAACGGAGATCCAACTATCATTTTTACATCTTACCATTAAAATTTTATTAATTTTATCGAATATCGCAACACCTGAAAATTGTTGAAAACAAATTTTCATTAATATTATTATAATAGTAAAAAATTAATAATTATTTTATCGTTTGTTTCTTATGTTATGTTTTTTTTTTACCTGGTATATTTGGTTCTAAATTTGATAATTTACTGGGTTTATCTATTTTTCTTATATCTAACAATTTAATTGTTTTATCATGAAATTTTGTAGTTAATGGATATAATCCTATAAGAGCACGTTGTAGATTGTAAATATCTATAGCCGACATTTCATCCCATTTTATTAAAGATATCTTCGATGTAAACTTGGGAGCTAAAAAGTAATTAATGAGAGAATAGCATTTATGTTTTTTTGTTTTTAATTAATTAATTTTAATGCATAATATAATATACGTGGTGGGTGGGTTGAAAAGTTTTGGGCCTAATATAGAAATAATTTTTTTTCTGTTGAAAACAACTTTTCCGATTAAATTCATTTCTATTTCAAAAAAAAAAAAATTAAAGTTCTTCTTTTAATAAGGCTAAAAACTTTTTGACTCACCTTTATAATTAAAAAAAAAAAAAAAAAAACAATTGTAAATAATAATATGTTTAACTACCATACGTTGCCTCCTTTTCGTTTTGAGGTCTTCCATTTGATAATATCGATGGTAATTTTTGAATTGTCTCGATTAGAAGATTTGCTCCTATTTTTGCTAATTTAGACCGTAATTCTGGTAAAGTTTCATCTGGATGAATACTCGTTTGTTCCTGTGCTATTATCTCTCCAATATCAAATCTAAAAAACGATACAAGATAAATAGTTAACATTAAAACCACCTTAATATTTATTACACACATTATTTATATTTTATTATATTCGATAATTGTATATCTAAATCCTGAAAGATCACGGATATCCTTAAAGTATTGCCATATGCAAAGAAACTATTAAAGATTATGAATTTGATTCTTTTTTTGAAAGAAAAAAAAAAGAAGAAGAAAAGAGATAGAATATTAATCATTCAAGTCTCAAACAGCACAATAGTGCAGTTTAGATTTCTTGTCAAAAAGTGCAACGTTAGTAACATGCAATGTAAAAGCGATACATTGTCACCCTTTTTAGTACTTGTTGACAGAATTTTTCTAAAGACTAAAATTTCAAAATTGTGAGACTTTAATGATTAATGTTATTTTATGAAATATTTTTTTATAATATGATACATTATAAAAATTGAAATTGTATTAATTATAGTTACGAATATGTTAACAATTATACTAATAGTTTGAGTATTACAACGGCTCTTTCATTATCATTTGTTTTCTTCTTTAAATTAATAATCATTGTAAGCTTATCAAATTTTAACTTTTTCTTTTGAAAACAATAATGGCTAATACAAATAATATAATGCAATAAATAATCGATAAGAAAATAATATTTGAATGATCAATTTTTTTGTTTTCTATTTTCCGTTTTCTTTTTTTTTTTTTTATAAAAACGACTCTTATTTGTAATAGAATGAAAATTACTTTTTTGGCAATATATTCATTATTGTAACACCTGTGTGCGTATCCCCATTTTTTAAAGCGTATGTAACCGGTGACGCTCCTCTCCACTTTGGTAATAAACTTCCATGAACGTTTAACATGCCTCTTAAAACATAATAAATAATGTAAATTAATTTTATGAATTAAATAATTATTCATTCAATAGAACATAGAAATTTAATTGATAATCATATAGGTCCAAAATAAGAGCACACTTACAATGGAAATGAATTAATTATATGTTTTGGTATTAAATGTCCAAAGGAAACGACAACTCCTATATGAAAATCTTTTATATCAAATGTTACAGGCCAGGTTCTCATCGTAATTCCATGTTGTATTGCATAATTTCTAATTTCGTGTTTCCTGTTTTGTTCTGTCGTAACAACTTCCAGTCGACATAGTGTCTTTAATTTGCTATACAATCAAAATATATCTGCTATCAATTAAATGCGAGTAAAATAATATATATAAATTGTTTAAAAATAATTTTATTCACAATATAACATCTGTTAGTATAATATTTGTATTTTTTACATGATATTATTTATAATTATGGTATAATTAAAATTAAAAACTAACTATTGTTTATGTAAACCTTTTAAACTTTCTAAAGAAAAATCATCAACTCCAAAAAATAATACACTCCATGGTCCTTCTTTGGGAACGGCGTGTACTTCTCTCTTAGAAAGTTTTAATATTTTGAATGAACTTCTTAGTATTTGTTTAAGATCAAAATATTTATATTTCATTCTACAAGTTTTTATAAACATTATGCAAATTTAATTATGGTAAAATCGATTTATTAACATTTTTTATTGACATTTGTACACATTTTGCTTTGATCGTTATTAGCACTGAACAGTACAGTCTTATCATGAATTATTTTGCAATGTATCGCTGCGCCATCTAAACACTATTGTAGGTACTTTAACACACAATAGAAATGCTTCATAACGTGTAAGCATATACAAAATTATAAAGATTTTTTTCTCGCTTTATTTCTATCACGTTTAAAACAGTTCGAATTATTTTGATCGACGATTAACCACCAATAGAATTGATTGTCGTACAATATAAGGAATTTAAGATCTTACAATAAATAAATGAATAAAACTCGATTATAAATGGACACGTTTTAAAGTTGGTATTACAGAGAATAAACGACGTACATATCCTTTGTAATATACAGTAATTGATTGAAAGATAAAGTGTTTAGACATGAGGTTATATCGTTCAATAGCATAATATTTAACATTTTATTTAATCTTGTTATTTAATATTAAAAATTTTTATTGATAAAGTGAGGTTATTTTCAACTAATTCATTTTTCTTGATATTCATATTTAAGAAATATAAGATGAAAGAGACAATTATAACTCTTCCAGCTGTCATTTTAAATACGTTGGAGCATTTATATCTGGACGAGTGAATTTGTTATTCATTTTACCTGTTAATATTAGGTAATGTATTATCAATCTAGTTTTTACTATTAATACTATTACTATTAATTTAGTTTAAGATAATGTAATTATTTATTAAAGATATATATTTATTTTTGTTATTTTCAGGTTATGTTAACTATATATATATTTTTCATATATATTTATACATGACAATTAAAATGAATAATTACAAACAAGATAGTGACGTGTATATTCTTAATTTTTTATTATAAACTAAGAACTATATTAATAACGGGTATGTGGTATATTTTTTATTTTATTATATATACAAGTTGCCCCATGTTAAAATTTTACAGAGAAAAAAACTGGGACACCTTATATACGTTGAATATGTGAACAATAAATGATATTCATTTGTAATCTTTTTTATATTTTGTATAGATTTTTTAAATATCTAACAAGCATCTTTTAAGATGAGACGTTCAAGAATAAAAGCAGTGGCCACAGTACCAGTGCGTCGAAGGGCGTTACAAAGTGCAGTTAAAGATGAAACAAATAATTCTAACGATAATAAAACAAATGAAAATAAAGATAATGATAATAATATAAATAATGATATTCCTAAGAATATTAATAATCATGAGAATACTAATAGTGAAAATAATATTATTAATGATATTAACAAAAGTAATGATAATAATGTGAATAGTGATATTCCTAAAATTATTAATAATCAGGAGAGTATTAATAATGAGAATAATACTATTAATGATATTAATAAAAGTAATGACAGTAATGTAAATAATGATGTTCAGGAGAATATTAATAATAAGAATAATATTATTAATGCTATTAATATAAATAATGATAGTAGTATTACTAATGATACTATTGATACTAACGATAAAGAGTTATTAAAARATAATAACGAAGTAGATGTACTTGCAAGTGTTTCTAAACCGACCAGTGAATCAGATGAATCAAATAYTAAAGAAATAAAAATTGTAACTAAATCTCAAGAAACACAGAAAACACGTGTTATAAAGGAAGAAAGCGTTYAGCTTGAGTTGATAGAGCAGATCACTCCACAAGTTACGGACTCTACTGAATATTCTAATACAAATATAAATGGTAAGTTGTTTTAAGTGGGTAATTATTAAACAAAATGTATTAACTATAATTTGAATTCAGTGTTAGGATCTCCCACGAAGACTGGACAGAATCGATCATTATTTATGAGACCCGTACCAAGATTAAATAACAGTGGTCGAATAAGAAGTAACAGTATTCAAGGTAGCGGAGCTAGTGCAAGCGAATCTGAAGATGATAGTAAGAGGGTAACTAATAATACAACAAATAATAGAACACGCAACGATTCCATATGTTCAGTTCAAAGTAACAAAGAAGTTTCTAATAGTACATCAAGCAATTCTGTTACTAAAAAAAAAACTAGTCAGAAGAGACGTATAATGATATCAGAATCAGCAAGAAAATTAGCAGAAGCTAGAAGAGAATTTTTATTAAAGCATGAAAATAAAACACCGGATAGAGCGAAGCTTACTATGTATGATTTAATATATTATAATCCTGCTGGCAATCCTATGAAAACATCTAAAGAACCTGTTAAGAGTTCCACAAGAATTGAATCTACTTCTGAGTGAGTATAATTAATTTTGTTTATTTTGGGGAAAAATTATATTAAATACATGATCAATTTTTTAATCGTATTTCAGAATTGAAAATGAATTAGAAGAGGAAGAAGAGGAAGATGATCCATCAGCGATGCCAGTGCCACAAGTTAAAGTTGGTGCTGATGGGCAATTGGTAATAGATGAACAAAGTTTAGTAATAGAACAATCGCATGAAAAGAAAAGTCGTGAACTGCTTGCTAAAAAAGCTATTGTCGAAGATGACAATTATGGATCAGGCTTTTACAAAAGACGTCCAAAAGGAAAGGAATGGCCAAAATGGGAAACATTGAAATTCTACAAGGCATTAAATATTGTCGGTACAGATTTTTTATTGATGCAAACTTTATTTCCAAATAGAACGCGACAAGAGATTAAATTGAAATATAAGAAGGAAGAAAGAATTAACAGAAGGTTAATCGAAAAGGCTTTAGAATATCATCAAGAATTTAGTCCTGAAATGGAAGAAAAATTAGGTAAAATATATTTGAACAAAATTGATCGTTCTTAAAACATTTTCCAATGATATTATATTTCTATTTTTTTTTTTTTTTTTNTAGCTAAATTCGAAGCATCGATTCGACAACAATATTCTGCAGAACAAGAAGCGGAAGCGAAGAATAAAGAGAAAAAGAAATTAAAGAAGAGACCAGGATCCCGTACGTACAATTTTATTCCATAATATAATCTTTATTAAATTTTGACGAATTATTAAAAGAAGCGTAAACATGTCTCTGTAGGATTTGCTGCGAGAAGTGTAGGAGAAAATACAGCATCGGATGAGGATGATGTAATGGAACCAGAGATAAAAGAAATTCAATACAAGGATATAGAAGCTAATAATAATCAGTTTTTACAAAAGCCAAAAAAACGTTTAAAATTAAGTGTTAAAAAAACGTCTGAAGTTGCAGCAACAACGTCAGCAGCAATAACAACAACAACAACAACAACAACGACGACGACGAAAGAGAATGATAAAACTACAAGTATAATACTCGATGGAGAATCGGATAGTGATGCTGAAATTTATCAAATTAGACCGACCAGATCTGGTAGAGTGCCAAAAGTTAGAAAATTGCAAGGTCCCGACGTAAATAATTTAGATAATATTGATACTGAACAACAATTGGATAATACCGAAGAAACATTATCACAAGTACAAAACGAGAAAGATATAATTGAATCTAAAGATACTACTTCCACCAACACCAACTTGACCAGTGCCAATAATCAAGTAAATCCTGCTGATATAACATCTACCATTCCTAATATAAGTGAGGTAGAACCAGGTTCTTTAGTTATTTTATCTAATAAATCTCCGGAGGAAGGAAAAACGGTGTTGCAAGTTTATATGGTTAGTTCCAACTGTGATGTAATCGATAATCAAGTTGAAAATAACATACCTTCTACGGAAACAAATTCGTCGGAAGTCTTGACTATAACACCTAACGTTTCTTCGGATATTGAATCTATCCCAATGGAACAAGACAAAGAATAGAAAGAAAAAGAAATTTGTCTTATTAATTATTGCAGATTTCTTTTAGTTTTTCTTTTAATCGAAAAGAGTAAAGAAATTTCATTTCTAGAAATCTTGTGTAAAATGTATTAGTTCGTTATATATATATACATATTACACGTTATTTAAGAATAGATTTTTTAATTGCATTAAAAAATAACGGGCCATTTACATATGTGTTTAGTTTCGATTATATTTTTTTTGTGTTTTTGACTGTTTTATAACAATTTTTTATGGTTAAAATACGATTTTATACGATAAGCAGGTTTATTATATGGTATTGACTTTATAAGCATGTATACGTATACGTACGTATATTTTATATTTATATATATATATGTATAATTATAGGTGAAAGACACCGTATAATATATAAATATAAAATATTCATTATAGAAATGTTACTTAATTTTGAATATAATTTTTCAAATATAAGCATTATTGTTCCAAATTGGACAAACATTTTTTCAATAATATGACGATATAATATTCAATATGATAAATTTATACAACATAAAATATGAATGATTGATCAAATGCGCATGTGTAGAATATTGTAAAAATTACTTTTTGAATTTTACTTGTTCCCTATTATTATTATTATTATTATTATTATTATTATTATTATTATTATTATTATTATTATTATTATTATTAGTATGAATATTAATATTTTAACGTCTTTTCTTCTTTCAATAAAGAAAAGGAACAATTTTGCATAAGTACGAACAATTTATACAATATTCAAACGATTTCATAATATGTAAACTAACGTGTTATGTATTTTTAATCTTATTATTTTTCTGACTTTGTATCTCAATAATATTATTAGTAAAAAATCAAGGTAAACTCGTATAAATATTTTTTTGTATTAAATTATTTCTAATATAAAAAATATAGTTACACGTGTAGTTTAATATCAAATGGTAATGTATAAGTTACTTTTGATAAAATTTATGATTTATTTAGCAAAAATTTCAATCTCTAGAGTTTATCTTTTGTATTTTTTTATGTATGTACTATATAAATATTTAAACATTCAACTTATTTTTTATCATTCGATACTTGTATGCTTGAAAAAACATTAGACGATATGAATCAAATGCTAATGAAATAATTATAGTAGAAAAGAAAGAAACAAAATAATATGAAATAAAGGCTACTATTTATTAAGTTAGTAATTATAAACATTTTTATTATTTTAAATAAATGGTTAATTAGTTAATATTTATAATGAAATATATATACATCGATAAATATAATTCTTATTCTAGTATATATATATATATATATAAAAATACTGACAAATTATTAATTATGATAAACGATAAATATTCATACTGACCATTTATTTTATTAAAAATTATCTCAATAAAAATGTTTAGATAAAAAAAAATGCTTTAAAATATTGATCGAATAAATATAAAATTAATGACTATATATATAAATTTTAATAAATTTTTTTTTTTATAATTTAATGACAAAAGAGTGGGAAATAATTGAAAAGAAAATAAAAAAGAAAATGGTGGAATTCATTGTGCAGGAATGTTTGCATGCCACTCTTGGCAATCGCATATTCAAAGGCGAAAATCACAGCGTGGAACGAGAAAAAGAGAAAGGAGAAAGAGAGAGAAAGAGAGAGAGAGAGAGAGAGAAAAGAAGAAAAACAGTACTGACGTACCTTATAAGCTTCAGAAGTGAATCGTACGTATTCGTATTCGTAGTGTGTGTTATGGCGTTGGTGTCAGTGACTCTTAAATCTAATATATTATACTACTTGCTTCTTCGTCTTATTCAAGTCACCGCAATGAAATCTTGAACCGATTTAACGTAGTATTCTTTTTACTAGAAAAGGAAAATAAAAGATAAACATTTATCGATATATCTATATTTGTATATATCTATATCTATATCTAATATATATATATACACATAAATATATGTATACATATATATACACATATGTTTATATGAAGAAAATAGTGTAAGTGTTTAAAATTCAACACGTTGATCACCTATACAACAAAATGCAGGTTAGAATAAATTTATTTATTTAATTATATATATTTTTATTTTGTATTTAATTTACATTTTATTTAAAAAAAAATATATATATATCAATTTTGTATTTAACATAATGGAAGTTAAAATCAATTTTTATATTTATTAATAATACATGTGTGTTTTATATTTTTGTTTAATTTTTTAAATTAATTTTCATATTATTTTTTTTTTTTTTAAATTATAATAATGTTAAAATTGTCTATACAACAAAACGGAGATTTAAATAGTTTTTAGATATATGTTTATCAATTATTATCTATATAAATTGATTTTTATTTTCACAATTTAGACAAAACAATTTAGACAACAAAACTTTCACTAGAAACATTTGAAAAAGATTTCTAAAGAAATTATTCGAATATGAATCACGCTCGTACGCATCGGTAATCGAGAATTAATCATTTCCAAAGTCTCGGTTTTATTTTTTGTATTTTCTTTGACGTATATGTTAAGGATACTATCAATGGTTTTTTTCCTTTGAACGTGGTACTTGTATTTTATTTTTTCCTTTGAGTATTTGCAATGTACAACAGGAGAGAGAGAGAGAGAGAGAGAGAGAGAGAGAGAGAGAGAGAGAGAGAGAGAGGGAGAGAGAGAAAGAAAGAGGAAAAAGGAGATGGAAGATAAAAATGAGGGAAAACCTAGAGAATGATAGACAAACGGAATAGAAATGACAACATTAAATGCAATTTCACGTTTTCCTATCGTATAATTTTCTTATGTGAGAGTGAAAGAAACAAATATTCATTTCAAATAACATTCTTGTTTGCTAAGAAAACACCTTAATGAATATTTGAAATCGTTAATACACGATTTTATTTTTCGCGCGTAATACGATCCGCCATTTACAATTGTCTTTTCTTTTTCTATTTTTTTTTAATTTATATATTTTTCACGCATTAATAGTATTTTTATGATAAATAATTTTCAATTCGTATTCTTCGTAGTTCTATTTATCTAAGGATGCATTTTTCTTATTGTTTTTTTTTATTTTACTTATGTTAGTCATTGATGCCATTTTATAAACCGCTCCTCGTACAAATTTGTTTCATAAATATTCATCTATAATTAATTTATGTTTATTCGTATTATAAATAAATACATTTTTGAAAATTTTTCCTCGGGATTTTGTAATAAAAAAAAAAAAAAAACGATGGATAATTTTTTTTTTGTTTTTCATTGTTTCAATCGTCAAATTGCGCGTAGAAAACGATTTTACGCGTAAAGATTAAAATAAAATAAAATACATCGGTATAAATATTTTGTAAACATTTTTAATTTCTTATTAAACAAAAATCAATGATAAATAAACGATAATTTATGATAAGATAAAAGATAATGAAATATTCGTATTAAACAAGAATTTAATTAATTTCTATTTAATATTTACAAAATGGTGGAAGAAAAAAATCATTTTATTAAATATTCGCAAATGCAATGAAAAATTAGCAAAAATTATTACAATGAATACTTTAATTATTATAATATGTGATAAAATATAGAAATATCGTATCGATTGATAAATACTTTAAAAGAAAAATAAATAAATTAAAAAGTTAATAACATGTGATTGTTTTCTATCACGACAGTTAGTGCAATGAGTAATACGCGTAGCTTTTATCAGAATAACGTAATTACATTGAAGTGAAAATTAACTATAATAGGAATTTAAGGATATATTGATTTTCAAAAGAAAATTAGTAACGTTCGATGATTATGATCCTATACGAGTTTCGTTCGAACATAGTAAGAAACAAAAAGAACAGAGAGAGAGAGAGAGAGAGAGATGATTTCTACCAAGGTCGTCAAGTTTGCGTCTCGAAGTTTCTTTTTTATTTCTTAATGATTGTTTTAACTTTCACGTGATTTAACTTGTTTTCGATTGAATGAACGACGATACATATGAAAAAAAAAAAAATAAATAAAAAAAAATAGAAATTGCGAAGAAAGAAACGGGATTTTGAAATATTTCGATTTATTTTAGAATAAAATTTCGTAACTCTAGAAAATGTGTTTTTTTTTGTGAATTAAATATTGAAGAATAAAATTTTCTTAATTCGGATTGAAGAGAAATATATATTGTATTTAATTAAACAGTATATAGTACTAAATTAAATTTTTTAATAATATTCTTTGTAAATCATCTGGAAAAAGGATAGTGGTTTTTTATAATTTTACAGGAACAAAAATAATTGAATACACAATTATCATCAAATCTGTGAAAGATTGAGTGAACAATAAGTTACTAGAGATATTTTTTACAATTAATTACATTTAACACAATTATAAGTATTATAGATATTATATTAATAACAAATATTTATTTTAAAAGAAGAAAAAAGTATAAAATGAAATATCTTGTAGATAATTTAAAAAATAAAAAATATATACATTTTATTATTTTACATATACATTTTACGAAATTATAGCTATTATAAATATTATACTAAATGGATGAATATTTATTTTATACTTCAAAAGAAAAAAATATTATACAAAAAGAATTTATTATTTAATTAGATATAATAATTAATTAAGAATTTATATTGTTTTTTTTTGCAATATGAACATTTTACAAAATAATATCCACTAAAAATATTATATTACAGATAAATATTTATTTTAGATTTAATATTTATGTAAAATATTTTTTAATATATATTATAAATATATATTATTAATATAGATGTTAAATAAATTATAATAATATATATTTAATATATATATACATAGTAATATATATTTAATCATATTATTCAAAATAAATAAAATCATCATAGATTCTCTTTCGTCAAATGTACACTATACACATATCCACACACGCACACACACAAAAACAATCTTATAATAAAATAAAATCTAACGCCATATGCTTTTATTTGGCACGAATAACTCGTATACGAATTCGTTTCCTTTTACAAGTATAGTTTCCTTTAAAGGATGAAGAAAAAAAGAAAGAAAGAAAGAAAAAGAAAAAGAATAGGACGAAAGGAATAGTAGTAGTTTGCGTAGGATTAACCAGCTGCAAGGAGAAGAAGGTTTCGTTTACCCCAGTAGTTTAGTTGGAACACGCGCACTAGCATGCTTGCTAACTCACTCACTCACTTACTCACTTACTCACTCATAGTCAGTAACTCACTCACATCAGTCAGTTATTCACTTATTCACTCACTCACTCACATCAGTTACTCACTCACTCATGTCAGTCAGTCCAGGAGTTGGTGGTGTCGCGTGGAATCCCTCCCTCTTCGTTGTAAGAGTGGGAAGACGTGAGGGTGGGTAGGAGCATTTAATTTGAGCTTTGCGAGGAAGTCGTTGATTCAAGATGAGAGATACGCTAGTTGAAGTTCAGCGCTCGATTTCGTTAGACTGAACACAACACCGGACCTTACAATCCCATTGTTCTATATATTTTTATTTATATGTTGTTAGTTTATATATATATACTTCAATTCTTACATTATTTTTCTAATATTTATCTTTTTTTTTTTTTGTTTAACATTAAATCACAATTATATTATTTTGTAATTACAAACGATTTGATTGATTTTGATTGAAATCATTTGTTTATTTGTTTTTTGTTTATCACGCGTATTTCGTGAAATGATAGTGAACGTCAGACAAAGAAGTGTTAAAAGAAAAAGGATCTCTGTTTATCTTACCAGGACGATATCTCTCTATGTCTTCTCGAATTCGCACAAGGGAATCCATGGTCGTTAATGGATTTACGATATATCTCTGTGAATTATATCCCATAAAGACTTTCATGGATAACTATTTTTTTTTTTTAATTGAAACTACTATCTACATGCACGTCCTCTATTCAGGTATTTTTCATTTATAAATTAAGAAATAATATTTATTTTTTATTTATTTATATATTTATTAGATTAATATCTTTTGTATTTGTGCAATACTCTCAAGTATTTTAATTAAAGTAATTAATAATAATTTTAGTAAACAAAATGTTTACAGTATACTCGGTGATTCATATTTATTTTATTATATATTTAATAAAAATATATATCGAATGAATAAAACATTTATTTATACGCGTTTGAATATCTTTTTCTGTTTGTAATTATTTGATTATCTAATGTAAGGTAATTTAAATGCAATGAATTAGATTCTTCAAAATAAAATTATCATAAGAATGAAATGAATTTTTCTTAAGAAAAGAATCAATTATCTGATTCATTCTTATGATACATACTCACTTATAGTATTTTTTTTTTTTTACATGTAAAAATAGTTAAAAGATCAAAAGATAAAACAAATCTAATTTAAGATACATGAATATTTTTTTATATATTAATCCTATTCTTATTGTATTTCAGATATTAACTTAAAATTATATTTTCGATAAGCACGTTATCTTAGATATGATATATATTTTATCATTTCAAACATACACAAACACACATATACATACTCATCGTGAAATACCTTTATTATTTTTTTTTTTTATATTTCACGAAGAAGTGTAGAAATTGTTTGAATAAAAAAAAAGGTACGTTCGTGTTTAAAAATAAATTACAACAATAATTTTGTTGTAAAAGTAATTTACATTGAATATGAATAATTTTTATTGTTATTATTATCTTATTTTTTTTTTATTCGTTTTAAATTTATTTCTTTTATTTTTGTATAAAAATATTTATAGAAATTATTTGATACGTTAAAGTTACGCGTTTATGTTTAAAAAAAAAAAAGAAATATTACAACAAAAATTCGATTCATTTTTATTTCTTTTTATTACTTTATTATTATTATTATTTTTTTTTGTTATTCACTCATTATATTCATTTTTATATTTGTACGTGTCTTGAAAAGCATATTTGAAGATTTATCAAACAGAAAGTAAGATGTCCTCGATGCAGGGCCAGCCAGTTAGCTATTCCTGGATCTTTTGAGCATGTTTCGAGAACCCCCATGTAACCAAGTATCAGGCCCAGAGTACACCTACTCA